ATCATCCGAAACCGTTCATTGTAGCTCTCCTCCTCCTCATCATCATCAGCAGCATCATCCTCGTGGTCGTCCTCATCCTCCTTTTCATCACCGTTTGACATCACAGTGTCCGATGCCCAGGTTGCATTCTCCAGATGCGGAATTAGGTTGAGCGCCACATGTGAGCCACGATGCCTTTCAGGGCATGACTTTAATTGCAGTGCGGCCCGGTTCTCCCAAAGCTTAAGGCTGCGGAAGCCTTTCTGTAATGTCCACGTCAGTGTACACGTATGGCAAAAAAACTCCCTGGTATGATCTGGAATTTCGGCCTCCATCGCGCTCGAGGAGGCATGGCCGCACATGATTTGTATATTTTTCCCCCAGCTGCAACCTGGGACGACTGTCTGAGACGGATGTACGAAACTTGAGGAACTGTAACGCAAGTGCCCAGAGCTTGACACTCGATCGGTCCCCATTCGATTGACGGTTTGGGAAGCACGATGCAACTGCCTCTAAACAACTACGTCCATGCTTTCGAGACTCTCGAGTTCTTCAGAGCAGTTAACTTCACATAAGACTCTTTCCCAAAACCACCATCGGTTGGTCAAACTAGAGGACCCTTCACTAAATGAAGCATGTGGGAGTGTCCGGGTAGGTTGTACGTAGGCTTGGGAGCTTAGCAAATGTTTAGGACGCCATGGAGGGCTGAGGGTTGACTGGGCTCTTGTTAGTTTTCCAAGGAATGTAGGCGAACTTCCCATAAACAACACAGGGAAAGCACATCGCTCGCTTGTATACCGGATTAAGTGCCTCAACAAGAGCTCGGTTGAGGGGAGTTTCATCCAGCATGGTTCCGGCCTACTCCGATACCCTTGTTCTCACGTTAAGGTTCTTTACCTTTACGGTTTCGGGGTTCAGGGTTTCGGATTATGGTGCTCCGCGCTTAAACTACGCTCCACCGTGCGACGACCCAGAGTAGGTGGTAGTGGCAATAAACGTCGCCTCATTGTGTCTGGCATCCTACACACCCGGGGTGATCTGCAACCAGGTTATCCTGTTTTACTCTTTCTCCTTTGTTGGGGTCTCCGGATGAAACCCCATGGATTTAGAGATTTACCCATCCTGACATCAAATTCACCCTTCAACACCGCCCCATCTCCAATCCAAGAGAAGCCTCGACTGACCAGCCGATAGCACGCCCGTGAGACTTCGCTTCAGGTTGCACTATAGTTGCATATTTCTCAAGCACAGTTTTGAGATTGTAGATGTGGCCGCTCACTCTGGAACAAGCTTTGTGGCTTCCCATCGCGCACCTTGTGTAAACTCGATTCCTAAGCGGGAGTTCTAGCCCCTGAGCCCTGAGGCAGTCAACTGCTAACCTTAAGCTCAAACACGACCCCCTCAAACGGAGTTCCAGGTGCCGGTGAGTTTGAGTTTAGTTTAGGGGTTACGGTTCAGGGTTGTGCTGCAGCTTGAAAGAGCAAGGCGATCAACATGTGAAGCAGCATGCTTGTGCATCTTCTCCCGCTGTTGTAAACTCTACGTTTGCAGTATACCGATGCGCTTTTCAGCTTTAACGTCGGTCGAGTTGGCTCTGGGACGTTAGGGCTTCTTACGGAATTTCGGGGGTTATACTGAACGGTTATGATGACAGGATTTGTGAAAATTCTCACATGTTGGGGCTCAGCTCCTCATGCTTCCTGAACCCGTTACAAAACCCTAAACGCCTTGGAAGCCCGACCCTAAACTTTACCTCCCAGACAGCTCTCCTCGAGGGCCACATGCAGAGTGAAAGAAATTTACGGCTCGATCGCGGGCCGGCGCCTCTCGGATGACGAGTGCTCACTGATTACTATGGCTTCTGTGAATTTCTCTTGAGTTGATGTTCGTTGTTTTAGGTCGAAGCTGTGCGATTTAAATTGAAACCAGAACCCCGCAGGGTTTCGGAGCCTTTTGTTCCCGAAATCCTGAACTCGACCTTCTCCAATGAGAAATAGATGCCCTGTCGATCCTAGCGGCCCTAGCCTGCCCATGTAGATTACGGATTTATAGGGTTTGGGCCCTTTGACTGCCGGCTCTTTGCACTACGTCCTGTGTTCCCTTTCACGCTTGGACGGCGGGCTGGATATCACGAAGATTTTGCGTTGAATTAGTCCCTTCCCTGGGGTGCTCAATGGAGTAAGGCAATACTACCATAGGAGCCTGATGTAGCGACACCAAGTCTTTCCATACACAGATATGAACACCCTTTTCTCCCTGTCTTCAGGCCCCCGTGAACATGTTCGTGCCGCATAGGGGACACCCTGCAAAACCATGCTGTATAATTTCGTGTGCAGGATAGCGGATAGCAGGATCAGTTGAGATTGGCCGAGAATGCTCAGCCAATGATCAACGAAGGTGATTGACTCTACGATTTCAGGCTTCTGTTGCATTGCCACGATCCTCTCAACCCTCAACCCTAGACCATGTACCTTAAACCCTAAACCGGCAACCCTGAACCTTGAGCCCTCAACCCCAATGCCCTGAGCCAACACCTCGCCGGGGCTTTGCAAGTTAGGTAGTTCTAACTCCAGCCAGCGATGGCCTACTTGGGGTCTTCGACTTACTCAGCAGCTTTAAACATGCGAGGCCCAGTTTTAGGGCTTCGGGAGCTGGAGAGGCGCTCTGGACATGTTGCAGGCTGTCCTACGGATCCCTGGTAAGGATGTGTAATCAAGTTGATGTGAAATGAAATTTCGCAACACTGCGTTTCCTGGCTGAATGGTCTGTAGTGTGTTCACACTCGTCGTTGCTGCTGGTAGCAATAGCAACGATGGGTATGCTGCTCGGTTGAAATCGCATAGATCATGGTCATGACCATTAGCTTGTTCATTAAGTTCTTCCGAAAACTACAGACAGGAAGCCGTACCTATAATTGTGATGACACTTGTGATGACAGGAACGGCAAATGCTTCGGTTACGAGCAATGATATTGATACTCCATTCATGGTCGTCCCAGGGGTCCGGAGGAGAATCACTTTGATGTTGCGGTGGACCGTCCACTCAGACTCACATCGTGTTACCAGGCTTCATACGCATCGTGCTTGCACAAAAGAGTTCACGTCTTGGGACTGCCGGGCGTCGCCGACGGGTTAGTTGCAGGGTCATGGCTTCAGCCACCGCCCTGGGACCCTGCATCGTGCACCACAACCCGGTTCCGAGAACCCGCCCCACTTCCAACAAACAGCACGCGTTGCCTGTGCAAATGGGCACCGAAAGATTAAGCATTAAGCTGTAAGCTGCATGTCAAGGAACAGAGCAGCATGGGAAAAGCTGTTTTTTACTGGCAAGCATCGCAGTGATGTGGTAACACTCCCCACAATGACAGCACTCGTAAGTGTTTGCGAACCGTTCGAGGCCCGAACAATTTCAGTCAAAACAGTCATCCTCAATTGGTTGCTATCCATGAGTGCTAGGCAAGAGCGTCTCAGCACTCTTCGTCATTGGCATGACACCCAAAGCCCAACAGCGCACAAGCCAAAATGCTAGCGTGCTAGAAAGCTTGCAGCAGAGCATGTAGACGCAGAAGCCAGAAAGCAACACGACCATGAAGACTGAGATCTCCACTACCCAGCCTAGCAAGCTTTTGGGCACTTCTGATGTCATCGACATAGTAACATAGTACCATCCTGAAGGTCCGAACTTTATTTGCTTGAGTTGTTAGGCAAGTATGCAAAGGCTCTCTGGCTGCCACGTGCTTCGAAGAACTTCGGAGACCCCTTCTCAAGTTAGGAGTCTGATTCAGCGCAACCCAGTCTCGTCACCGGCACACTGTAAGTGGTGCTATTCGTGTAGTATTTTGCATTGCGGCATTGGGTCTGGGAGCCGGCTTTTGTTCTGGATCCCGCAGCCGTTTAGCTAGCACCCCAAACCATGAACCCCAACACCCAAAGCAGAACCCAACGACATACCAACGAACCCAGACCACCCTGAGAAGAGACACTTGTTTTGAAGTCATGGTCGGCCTGACTTCCGCCCATGGCCTTGTTATATGGTGCAAGGCCGAATTAGTGTAGCTTTCCTAAACCTGGATCCTAAAGCCCGAGACCTTCAATCCTGCGCTTTTCTTGACTCTACCCCCGAAGCCTCTCAGCAAGCCGCATGAATCAATTTCAGTTCATGTGGCCCTATAAAGTCTGCAGCAGCGTACGAACCCGTAAGCCGAAAGCGACTCGGCATGTGGTGAGCCCGGCAGGCGGAGCCTTTTCTGGCTTGAGAGCTTGGGCTTCTTAGGGAGTCGTTTGGCTGCCAAGTCTTGCCACCAACACGAAAGCACACTCACCGACGTTAGCCGGTGTAAGCAGTTGGGAACGCGGCTGTAGGGAGATGAGGGCAAACATGACATGTACATCGTGGCGAGACACCTGGGACCATGAAGCCAAAACTCGTGCAGGGCAGATCAAGCGGTTTCGGACATCTATGCGTGAGATTCCACAATATTGAGTAGAGCAATGATAGAAGTTGTGTCCTTTCAGCATGGAGCCCTTGCATACATTCAAGCCTTTGAGCTGTCCACCCCGAGATGCAAGCGTGCCGCCCCTTGTCTTGGGCATACGTAATATGCCAATTTGCTACCAATATCAGAAGTCCGGATCAGGAGCTTTAACCCTGGGCTTGGAAATTGTGCGTGCGCCCGGGCAGGGGGCCTTAAAGCCCAAGGCTAAGGCTGTTTAATGCAAAACCTCAAGCCTCCAAATCCCGAAACTCCTCTGACGTATGGCAAGCTAGAGCGGAGCGACACCACGACACAGCAGCCTCGAATGCGAATTGCATGGCATTGCACAGTTTCATGCAGTACACTGTCTACTTTCTTCCTGAAGCTTCTGCAGATGTTTGGCTTTCTCTGAATCAAGCACCTCCCAAAATTCACATGTAGCATCTTCTCGAGGTGATCATTGGGTTTTTGCAAATCCTCAACCGTAGTTAAATCCTAAAGCGAACCGCAAATCCCTCCAGAGCCCTGCCCTACTGCAGCTTCGCAGGCGAGAGCAGCATGCGGCCTCGAGCAGCGCGGCAGAAGCAGGCGAGCGACCCAGAGTTCGGGAATTTCGGGGGTTTGGGTTTGCGTTCAGGAGTTCTGGATCAGGCCTTTGCTAAGCCCTCGGTTTGTATCTGGAAATCTCCGTTCCGGGCTTGAGAGGCCGGGCACGACGAGTGTATGCGAGCATGCCACGCAGAGGGAGATTGTTTTAGCTCAGTGTCGTAAAGAGTTAAAGTAGGTCTTGGATTTTCGGTCTTATTGCATAGTTCAGGGTGTTGGGTTCACTTTTTGGTCTCGGAACATCTGCTCTGGGTCCACATGTTAGGGTTCAGGGCATTGAGCTTTTGCTGAACGATTTCGGGCTTGCATGCAGGGAAGAAGCCAGGATTGCAAAGTCCGCGGGCTACGAGATGCGAAGCAGGTGCTCCTTGCGGCGTTCCTATGGCGGGCAGCTGGGAAGGCTCCTGCTAACTAAAGCTTGGGCCAGGGGGTTAGGGCGGTTAGGGTATACGGATGCAGGACCTTCTCAGACTAGAGGTTTTCGGAAAGCCAGGATTTAATTAGGGGTCAGGGCTCGCAAACTTTAGACTCTCAAGCTTGACATGTATGCAGACACACACACACACAGCATGCATGCGTAGGGCGCTTGGAGCCTTTCGAAGGTTTTCAGGTTGCAGGCAGTTTGGACCGTACAGATCTTTGTAGGCACGTCCAAAGCGGAAGTTGCAATCGTTGGCTGAGCATTTGGCCGCAAGCACCAAAACCCTGAAACCTGACCTGGAAACCTGAACTACTTGCGCCCACGGCTGGGGTGTATTTCGTGAGAGGGTTGGGGGGTTTGGCGGTTGAGAGCCTGTCTTAGGCTTTAGGGTCTGAGTTATGGCAGTGGGATCAGATTTTTGAGCCTTGCTGCAGAGCCTGCAAGGTCAGGTCCAGTTCGCCATCAGGAACCTGCAACCCCAAACAGTAGACACCGAGAGTTGTAGAGGAAATCCTCAGGGAACAATCGCTGGATTCATAGGCACCGAAGGCACTGTCCCGAACACCAACTGCTTCAGCTGCAAACTCAGACGCCGCTTCTTAGTGTCATACCCGCGAGGCCAAATCTTTAATTGGCATTAACCCGTGAACACGCCACATGGCAAAACCTGGGATCCTAAGCAGCCCTTCAGGCCACCGTGCTGTCCAACAACGGACTCCACGAATACATGACGGCCTGGTTCGCACTTTCCGATGCAGTTTGTTGCAGTGTTGGGAATTTCGGGCACCCAACTCTCGAAGAGTTGTAAACGGACTGACAAAAGCAGAGGGTGTAAGCACAACGACCCTCGGCTTTAAGCCGCTAGCCTCCTTGGTTGGTTTCGGGCTCCCAGGCCAGATTGCATGGCAGGAAATAGGGCGCCCAACGGATTCATCAAACCCAAGAGCTTTGAATCCTTCGACCGTCGCTCCATTTAAATATCGCAGACGAGACCCATGACTCGCACGAGGGCTGGGCCAACTGGGAAAGAAGCACAGCTTGGAGTCTTCGAGCATCTAAGCAAGCAAGTTCCTCGGCCCACTGCCCACTGCCATCTTGATATACTACATGGGCATCATGGTGAAGAGTTGCATCTCGCCGTGCATGACATGACACACGCACACACACTCAGCACATCCCCCCAACTCTTGTCGGTTCAGCAAGGTCCAAGGCTCCTGGTAAGGACGGGGGTTCGTCTGCCCTAGCATGGGAACAAGACTCTCTAACACACTTGAACGTGCAAGGATCCAGGGCTTCAGCAGAGGGCTTGCACCAGGGAAGTTTTGGTGATGTGGAAACGTGCATGGGCTGTAAGACTTAAGGTCCAAACTTCCAGGAGTTACGACTCTAGGCCGTAAAGAACCTGACCCGAACTCCGAACTGCCAACCGCCGGAGCTCTTCAGCACACAGCTTGTGTAACCTTGATTTGACTGCACGTTCCGCATCAGGGCCGCTTGCGGTTTAGGCTCAAAAAATGAAGGTTGAGGCTAGCTTCGCGTTGGGCGTTTCTGTTCGGGAAGGTTTCAAACGGGTGTTGTGTGGCGACTTCACTGAACTTCCCCGGCGGTGTCAGTCAAACCCCAAACATCGGCAGACAAGCGATTGTCACCCAGGATAGGCCACGACCCCCTGTTGAGGAAGCCACTGCACACTGCTACAAGCAGCTTCTTGCAGATCCAATGTGCTGCAAGGATGTGTGGGCCGGGCTTTCATAGGGCCTTCGTGGTTGGGTGTGACCAGCGTGGGCTTATGTTCGGGATCAGAGTTTCAGGCGCAGGCTTCCAGGTTGGGAAGGTGAGAGCTGGAGACCCCTCGCGTCTTACTTTGTGTTCGATATCGGTACTCAGGTCTTCGGGGTGTCGCGATGCGAAGGGTGCAGGAGCATGAAACCAGTGTCAAACTTAGTTTGGGAGCTTTTCGATCTTGGGGCTTGGGATTCGGGGTCTACAAGATCACTCCAATGTTTGACGGCTTCCAATGGAGTTACAAGCCTTGAGGACACACAATTGAAGCAATCCCTCCCGTGTCTTGCCGGAATCGTGTTTTCACATAAATTATGTTCACACGCATTGTCAGGGTTCCGAGAGCCTCAAACAAGTGCTCCGTCAAGCGGCACATGACGAAGGGCAGGGCACGGAGCGGGGCAGGGCGAGGTGTTGAGTTTTCCATGTGCGCTTATGTACTACATGGTGACGAACACTGGTTGGGCACCAAAGATCTTCCGCACATGCAGTTGTTGTAGCTACAACCAGCGGCCTGATCCTGCACGCTCGATGGGCGCTGGGATGGTCCAGGGGCTGGGAGGATCCAACAAAACTGCCGGGCAACCGACTTGGAACGAGAACAACTCCTCCAAGCGACCAGGGCAATAAGATTCAACTTGCACGAGGGTGGACATGTTGACGTCACTACAGTTCGAAGTGAGATCACCCTGTATTTCACCGACTATGAGCAGGGCAGGGCAGGGCAGGCCGGGCAGACTGGGGGTGTAAGCCCGGGGCTGTAAAAGCAACTTGGATGGAAAGACCATGAAAGACCAAACACACCAACAAGATTGCAGCACTGAGCGCAGGCCTGTCATTGAGTTGGACCACCGTACCCACCTGAACCTTTTCAGAAGCCTTGCATCTTCGTTCTGCAATGCCAAACTTACCAAACTGTTGTTAAACAGTTCCCCAAACCTCAGTTTAAAGGACCCCCTCAAATCAATCTCACCTCAACCCCCGACCAAACCCTGAGCCTCAAAAACTCCTAAGCGCGAAGGACCAGCGGGTAGCCCCGGCGGTAAGGCCTGGTCTTGGGGTACAAAAGCCCCGTCGGACTTGGGGTTTATGGCATGTAGATGCTTGCAGGTGTATTTTAAGAAGGTGCCGCGCATTTGAGTTTCGGTTGTGTCAGGTGTTGCTGGGTTTGGGGCATCCGTTATTCTATGCCTTGTGAGTCCTGCGAGATCTTGGGATGTTTTGTTTTTTCCAGGTGGGTCGTTGAGCCGTTCAGGGGGCGTACTCGGGGCATGCTCTTAGTCGAGGCTGTCTTCAAGGAAGCCCAACATCGAGAAGCAAGGTTTCGGGCCTTTCGCAAAGTGATTCTGTGCCCTTGGCGCTTATCCGACCCGAGGTTTCAGGATTTAGATTCGGGACCCAGCTCTAGGAGAGGTCCCGGCGATGCTCAGCTTAACAACACGCAAAAGATGTTGCTGTCAAAGCATACGGCATACGCCTTTGTAAAGCCAACGTAATGCCTGCAGGCACATGGAGAAAATCTTGAACCTGAAACCGCTGAAATTCAGGCAAAACTTTTGGACAAACTCCAAAGCCTGCGCCCTAAGGCCGCAGTTTCTAAATTCAAGACCTTGAACACCACTCCAGATCCCTGAAACCTGTAAACTGTAAACCTTCCACTGGCAGGCAGAAGGACATCGTCCGAAGCGGAGCGGCCTGGACCTGTGCACGGGCCTGAGCTGCCTCAGGTTGCTGTTCGGAGGGTTTGTACGGTGTTGGAATTATGTCTCAGTAGGTCGTACCTGGGCAGTCAAAGCGATCAGGTGATGTTACCTTCCTTGTAATCTTACAACTTTACTTGAATTAAACTTTGCGTAATTTCCACGTACCAAGTCTTTTGATCCGATAAGTGAAATCGACAATCGCAAAGTCGCGGTATGACATAAGATATAGCACACACACATTGGGCCAGGGCTCATGCATGAGATAGACAGAGAGGGAGAGCGCGAGAGAGCGAGAGAGAGAGAGAGAGACTCGAGTGATTGAGTTGATTAGTTGTAGCCCTTGGTTAGCCCAAACCGTAACGGACAAAACCCGCGAGTCTTAAACGACCTGAACGATCCGCGCCAAAAAATCAGACGCAGGTCCGCACATGTGCTTAGCATGCAGGATTTTGCTATGTTGGGATGGCATAGGCATTGAGTTCGGAGGCTTGTGCAGTGGTGCTTCCGGGCGTTAGACGGACTCGGTGAGGGCTTTTTCCATCGAGCTATGCGGCTATGGCTCAGGCAACGCCACCGCGCACCCATTCCGCAGAAATAATCACAACTCAAAAATTTGCGAATCTGTGAGTCGTCAGAATGCACCGAGAAAACAACCCTGAACTCTGGAGACATGGAATGTTGGCTGCATCCAAGCCAACAGAGACCAGCCTTGACACACAAACACACACGCACGCACGC